GTATTTTTAAAAAAATTTGTGAAGTAGGGCCTATGGGGATTTATCACTGCTGTCTATGGGAATTTATTTGTAGTGGTGCACCCTACAGCAGAAGCGAAAGTTTCGTTCGGTCTGGTTCCTGTCTCGTGTACATTTCTTCACATGATCCATTTCAGGTATCCTGCGCCAGTCTTAAGCTTGATGGACCGGTGTCACGCTTCAATAGGCACGTGGCCGAGAATCAGAAACTGTGACCGTGCTTTCCTTCCTCCATGCTGTGACTGTGACGTGCCGCACCTCAATGAAAGTTTAAATTGTTTGCGTCGTGTTATGTAAAAATCTATGTACATGATTTACGGGACAGACAAACTTTTCGCTCCTTATTAAATCTGTGGTAGATTGGTGTAACACAAGAGAAACAAGTGGATATTGAGTCATATAGCCCTGCTTGCACTTGTCGCAAGTTGGCGACCCATGTAGCCCAGGCCCATATATCAAGGCCTGTGTGAGGCTGGCCGGAGGACTAGGAATTTGATGACTGGAGTGGCTTCCGGGTTAGCGGAGCACCACTTGCATCTTGCAATGGAGGATTTTGGTCACCGTGTTTTAATTATCCTGTCGGTGGTTTTCAGTGTCAGAGGCAAGTAAGATTAAAAGTTCTATCAAAAGAATTTTCATTTCAGTGGGGCCATGTACAAACTCCCGTAGTTTTAATTGTGCCAACTTACTCATCCATCGCAGCTATTTGTGCAACCAAATTTCATAGGTCTACTGTACATGCCTTCTTGGTAAAGTTAGATGTCAGATGGGAGGTTTATTCACCTTATATCCTCATTAAAATGGTGAAATTTTTCAGCATTTTTCTCATCCATAGGCCCTACTACAGAAAATCAGCAGCATGTACTCTCAATAACCGTCAGCTGTGTGATAGCTTGACCAATTGCAACATAGCTCCTTTCCCTTCCTTTTCTTTTCTGACCCAATCCAAATGAAAGCTGAGCTGTGATTATTCAATGGATGGAAGCAAATTGGACCAATCACAGTGCAGCTTTTATGTGTGGGTGACATTGTACACCTTCCGTTAAATTAAATCTTTCTTGGTGAATGGATTTGACGCTGTGCTATCGGTATGGTATTCTAGATGAGGTCTAACCAAGATTGAATTGAGTTCTTTTGACACCGATGGATGCAGAATTACAACTTCTTTTTATGAAGTTGAGGATGCGGGTAGCTAACCCACAACTTTAACTTATGTTCATGACCAGTCACGTCATCCCAGTAGAACACGCGTGACACATTTTAATGTTGCTAGTATATTGCACAAAAATGGTTTTGTTTCATCCCTAGGGGAAAGCTTGTCCAAAAGAAAAAGGCCATTACGTTTTTTAGTGGGTTGTGGCATTTGCTTTTTGATGAAATTTATAATACAATTTCATGACAAATCAACTGCACTGTGACAGGATGTCAAAAATGGCATATGGGGATGTCCTCGGCTCCTTGTTCTTTCCCTAAAGGAAACTGTATGGCAAAGCAGCCCAACAGTTGCTAACTGTGAGTTGCAGTTTTATATTCTGACTTGTGATGGTAGTTTTTGTAGCACTTGGGAAAGAGTTCCATACATGGACATTATCAATTGACACCCTGTACACTGACCCTACATGTATGAGACCGGTCTGACAAAATTATGTTTTCTAAGTGAATTTTTTTATATTTTTTCTGCTAAATTTGACATTTTGGAACATGTCACTGCTTTCTGGTGGCTGATATACCACTTTAGCATGTTTAGGGAAAATTAGTAATGTCTGTGTGTATGGAACTCTTACCATGCTTACCTTGTCTTGTGCGTCTACTCTATTTGGTACATTTTTTAAAACTGCATTTTACAACAAAAGTCAAACAAAGGGGCTCGTACTGGATTGGAATGATTCCAGAAGGGAGAATTACTTTTGTTTTGAAAAAAGTACCTATCATCAGCAACTACATGTACATGTGTATTTATATCTTGTTTCCATGAAGTTCACTTTGTACAAGGTAACAAGGGTTCTGTAGCATGGATTTACAGAAAGTAATGTTCAAGCCTGCACCCACAATTACATTTTTGGACTGCCTTTTGGTCAAAAAAAAGTCTCAGGTTTCTAGTCAGCGCGTGTTTCACTGTAGACCTGCACAATTTACACTGTATATGGGTGGAAAGAAGATTGAAACTAATAATTCTGTTGGGATATTTTCTGAATGAAAGCAAAGGTGCTTATGTGTACGCAATATATGATTGAAATTGAAGACAACTGCTGGAAGGATTACATGTCTTCTAAGGTCTGTTGTGTTTTGCACTCCAATACAGGAGACACAGTTTACTTAACAATGGTCACGTCAACACCTTATGGGGCGGGGTCTTCAGCTAGCATCAGCTGTTTCCGTAGCAGTCCTGATGAAAATGTGACATTGAGCTTTGGCAGACCACTCCAGATAGGTCTCCGAGGTTCTACAGTACAAACCTCAACCACCCTCCCTGCTGGCAGTACACAATCAGTAAATGGACAAGCAGTCACGTGGGATCTTACCTCCAGTAATGATGCCACTGGGTTGTTTTATTGTGAAGGTTCAAACAGAAACTTGACGACAAGGGTTTACAGCATCATCCACAGTATTCACAGTAAGTGGTACAACACCACCTTTCTTTTCAGACTCCTAGGGGTCGTTCAGACACCGTTTTAAATTCCCTTAAAACACCGGTTGAACTCAATTCAGTGTAACTTTCTTGCTAAAATGATGTCTGAACGCTTTTTTATTTAGACCGAATCGAGTTCAACTCAAAGATAAAACGGCAACTTAAACCCCCTCGGAAGGAAATTTAGTGAATAACTAGAACAAGTTTATCTTCTGGTATGGTGTCTGAACGGTTTTTAGCTAAAACGCTGCCTGTTTTAGCCAGCGCAATGACCCTGATTTATGTAACACCTTTTTGTTGGCACGCTTTTTGTTGTCAATAAACATGCATGGTCATCTTTTTCTTCAGAGGAGATCGTCTCGCAATGATAATTCGCAGAAGAAACTGACGAGAAAAGCTGTTGGATGCCATGTTGTTGTCTGAGCAAATTTCGTTCAACCTGCCGTGTGCCAGCTCAATCCACACATACACATCAGCTGCATGTAAATACTGCATGAGAAGCGCTGGTGCGTGCAAGTTTCACAAAAATACATGTACAATACGAAGCTGGCAGGCCGGCAACCAGTGCACACCACACAACACGAGCATGCCCTTTATGTGAATTTGTGGAAGTGATATGTGACCTCTCACACACTCACGTAGATAGGTAACACGGCCATGTTATATTTTATTATGGTGTCTGAAGGCTCAGTGAGTTTTAATTTTACGATCGCCCCCCCGTGGTGAACGACCATTTTAACTTTTACCGTTTTAGTTAACACGGCATCTGAACATGGCCCTAGAGAAAGAGGGATCAGATCCTAGACAGAAAGGAAGAAAGTTATACCAGTTGAATACAGTGTAAAATTTATTGTCATAAGTTAGCACCCCTGACTGACAAAGAGTCTCATTTCAGTTCACCTGATCAAAAAAGAAATTTAGATGACATAAGAATTCATTTTAAAAAAGGTAAGGCATCCGTTATATTTCATCAGTAGAGATTTTCAGTTTTCAGTTAATTTCAATTTCATTTTTGTTTCTAACTTGCAGGAAGATTTGAGCCACATAATGGACTGGTGACAAAGACTATCAATAAAGGAGAAGATGTAACCCTTATGATTGACTCCGTAAATTCCAGTACCCGGCCTCTGTGGCATAGGAATAATAATAGAACTGCCGTCCGTTTACATGCTTATGATGGCATGTACAACATTACAATTCCCTCTGGCAACATCAGTGATGGGGATTTGTATGCCACTATTGAGAATTTACTCTCAGTGAATGATAATCACTTCAGCCTGATCAGACTCATCGTCAGAGGTAAGGAAATAATAGCACTTTGGGCATATTAAGAAAACGGAAGTAGAGAAATGATTACATGAATGCTATTGTTCACTGCTGCAAGTATGTGTGGTTTTCTTTTTCAATAAGTGACTCAAGGCAATAAAACACGAAAACAAATTGATTTTACTGGTACTCGTTAGAAAAAAGAAAGATACATTTAAAGGCTTGTTCAATCTCACTGCACATGCAGAGGCAAACCTAACTTTGATGCCACAGTGAAAATTAACTAAGAAGAAATGTGCTCAGGTTTTGCAAATTTACTGTATGACCTTACTGTCTTTATCAACTAATCTGTGCAGGGATCAATTTTCAGCTACCTGTTCTTCAAGTGTATATCTTCAAATTGAATGCTTCTAATACATGACCCACAAGCATAATTGATGAGTGTTGTGGATGGTGCCACAAAATAAAATAATTGTTTTAGAAATCTGGTGTTTAACCCTCTACCAGGTTGTACCACAGGCAGGTGGGGTCCTCCAAGCTGTGAAGATGTGTGTGACATGTGCTACAATGGAGGAGTGTGTAATGATGAGACAGGAGATTGCATCTGCCCACCAGGATTCAGTGGACCAAACTGCCTCACTGGTAAGCTCATTGCCTACTCACAGGTTGGTCTGTCTGTGTGTTTGTCTTGGTGTGACATGTGCTACAATGGAGGAGTGTGATGATGACACAGGAGATTGTATCTGTCCACCAGGATTCAGTGGACCAAAATGCCTCACTGGTAAGCTCATTGCCTGGTCACAGGTTGGTCTGTCTGTTTGTCTTGGTGTGACATGTGCTACAATGGAGGAGTGTGTGATGATGAGACAGGAGACTGCACCTGTTCACCACGGTCATTTTCCAGTACTCGACCTTGTCTCTGTCTGAGGTTCATTGTGTCTTTCAAGTTTTTAGGTCAAAAATGTCAAAAAGGCATTGAAAATTCTCCATTTTTTCTGTACCTGGCCCATTTTTGCTCGGTAGAAAGGCAGAAAAGGCACTCCAAGCCTTTCTCTAACGATATTTTGTGTTTGCTGCCATCTAGAGTTTAATTTGTTGGAACATTCAACAGCAAACAAAATTTGGGTCAGATCGTGCCCACATCGGATTCAACTCAAAATGGCGGTGCTGGGACACCTGACAGAAAATTCACCTCCCTGCTTTGGACACCTAAAAGAATGTTTTGATTCATGCGTAAGCTTATGATATTAATGTCTTTTAATGTTATGCCTAATTTTTGCTGAATATATTATCCAGTTATGAAGAAATCAGAGTCTGAAAATACTTGATTTTGTGTGGTGGCAGAATAGGAAATGTAAGTCACGTAGGCCGATACCTGTTACACCTGTCATAATAAGGGAATAAATTTGTGCTCTGCTGGTCTTAAACATTTCATTCTCCTGCTTGACAACAGTCCCCCCCCCCAAAAAAATCTCAATTTTCAGGCGGGGGGGGGAATAGGAGGAAGGGTGAGAGTTCGGGGGAGGGGGGGAGTATTGGGGCAGTTGCCCCCATACTTTCCCTTACCCATGCCACTGATACGTGGTAGCGTGGTGGTCCATTGTGCTTGTATTGTTTGCTGTGGTACCGTACAGGGGCTGGTATGTCAAGACAGTACACATTCAGTGATGGCTCATTTGCTGTAATTGGCATGTGTATGGCCAAGTCTCAACCCTGTGATAAAGTCCCAGGACTGCCCTTCTTTACTTACAGCATGTGGTATGCACAAATTTGGCTGGAATTGTGAGTTTGATTGTGGATCACCCCCAGCCTCTTGTAATGGCCAGTTTGGTCTGCCAGATCCCTATGGGAACAGCTGCATCTCCGGCTACATGGGGACATACTGTAATGAATGTAAGTATAGTGAAGAAAATTTCTTCTTAATCACAGACTTTCACAAAGTTTGTGTACTGTTACAGTTTTTATAGATTACATGAGAGATTAGTTCAATTTCACTTATACTTACAAGTAGAACTCTTTGCAAATGTAGCATTTTACAGGAATAAATTGTTCTTGTTTGTGTTATGGAAATACCTGAAAGGGCAGTTTTTTCCACAGCAGTGCATTGATTGGGGCACAGGAAAGTAAATGTATTATAATTGTCATCAGTGAAAATACTTAAATTGTTATGATGATTCGTCAAACAGCGAATGGATTGATCCTCTTGTTGCCCCGCATTTGTGTGTTAGCTTTGAAATGGTCTGCCACTCAACACTGTTTTGAGAAAGATTTGTCACTTAGCTGCTTTTGTTATATTTTTATTTCCATTGTGCCCTGTAGGGTCAACTCTTTCAGTGTCAGTCGTATTTTTGCCTATATACAAGCAGCTGGTAAAAAAATGGCAGATCATTAGAATACAAATGAAAGACTAATTGAAAAATATTAAAAGATCTTAATTATTATTACTAAATACCAAATGAAAATACAGCCATGTTGAATAGGAAATGAAGTAAATGTACATTTTGAGGTAGAATCTGACAGCAATCCAGGGTAACATCTGTGCTACGTTGTTGCTCATACAGGTTTAATCACTTGCTGCGTGGGGTTCCCGAACTGGACTACTTGGGCTTATTCGCTTATACGCAGAGCTGGGCCTAAAAGACTGTACTCGGAACAAAAGACCGAGCTGCTGAGAATTGCCAACATTTTTTCAGACTTTGTCAATAGCAGAGGAAATCCGTCATTGTTTTGAAAGATTATATCACGGTTTGTGGCATTCAGCGTGAGCGGATTACCACCGGGGACAAAAGCGCTCCAGTGATCAGCGATACAATACTTCTGCACGCTAATCTGGCCCTTACTGAAAAAATGTCAGCAGTGCACTGTGCCAGTTTCGGGAATAAAAATAAATTACATATAATGTACGCACAATCTGGGCTCTTTTTACAAGGTGGCAGGCTTGGCTGAAATACTTGGGCGTCAATAGATTTGTCTGTCCGAGATTAAAGTAGCCACCAGACAGTCATTTGTGTGGATGTAAATGTCCAGTAAATGAAGTTATGAATTTGTGAAGAATTTTGAAAATGGAAAATCTTGAACCCCCCCCAGGTATACGTCATGCAACTTCAAATTAAACCTGGCAGCATATGGTTAAGGCACATTTTGCATTGAGGGCAATGTGAGAACTCTGAGTACTAATTAGCAATGCTTCAGCAGTGACTGCAGTTGCCATGTGCCTGGAGTATGCGTTTGTTTTGTTGCAGCTTGTCCCTCTGGAAGATTTGGTGCTGGATGTACCCAGATCTGTCGCTGTCAAGCAGGTGATGAAGCTTGTGACAGATTTACAGGAGAATGTACACGGAGTGGATGTCAAGACGGTTGGTCTGGAACAAGCTGTCAAAGTAGGTACCATAAACATGTAGCTTTTGAAGCTGTTTGGCTTCGGTATTATTTTATCCCTAGACTAGATCTCTGGTGCACTGAATCATTTTCATGCTTTTTTTCAGTGTTGTCTGTTATCTTGCTTAAAGTCATTGCATTCAAGGAACCAGGAAATAGAAATATTTTTATAAATTTTACTAGAAACCCTTGAAATTGTATCTTTAGGTTTCAATTAACCTTATTTTGAAGTTTTGGTTTGCAATTTAAATCCACATTTTGATTTTTTTGTTTTTATGCTAATGCGTATTTGCACATTCATGAGCGGAACTATGATGTCATCCAAGGCACTGAATCTCAATGTTGCACTGATTTGTGTACAAAATTTCTAGATGTTTTAACCACTTCTATGGCAGATTTTGTTCTCTTTGGCAATTTATTGCTGTGTTAGTATATGGCAATAATCCATCAAAAATCCTTTTCACAGAAATACTCCCAGAAAGCAAATTTTTGATTCACAATTTAAACATGAAAACATGTAACCTGAACCATGTCTTCCTGGATTTACATCAAAGCAAAAGCGCCCTCACTTGTCCAGAAATGCTTGGTCAATTTTTAATGTTTGAAAAAGTGCACCGTTCAGTTCACGTAACTCAAAAGATGTCAAACAGTCTTCATACATGGAAGAAGAGTACAGGGATGTACAAAAAGTGATTCTAAGAAATATTCATTTCGTGGTTCCTTTAAGACTTCCATACCTGTTCAAGAAATGATGCCATCATATGGATTAAATGACCCTTTGTTGTCAAAAAGGTTCTTTCTTTCTTTGAACATTTCCTATGTAGTACAAGGCACATGCCCTATTGGCAAGTACGGTTTAGACTGTCTCAGTGACTGTCACTGCACTAATAATACTACCTGTGTCAGAGATAACGGCTACTGCAGGGGATCTAATGGAGCCTGTGCGGCTGGATATCATTCAGATATGAACGCAAACAACTGCCAAAGATGTAGAGATTATTTCTAGAGCTTGTGCTAAATCATCTGTTTGTTTTTCAAAATGTAAGATTGTAACAATAATTACAATAACGTATAATAATAATAATATAGGTATCAATAAAGCACCTTTAAAAAAGATCAAAGCGCTGTACACCATTACCCCTTTTCACCGGGCACATGAAATATTCCCAATACGACCTCATTTCCCTGGGGAGTATACAGCTCATTGCAGCCACTATTCCGCGCAATGCGGCAAAATCAACCACAATAACCATCTCTGCCCTCACAGGTACCAAATTACTCCTGGGTGGAGAGAGGCAATGAGTGACAAAGTGCCCACACATGCACACGTACCATGACCCCAGGCTGGATTCGAACCCACAACCTGCAGCTTATCCCGCCGACTTCGAGCCTGATACTCTTAACCACAAGGCCACTGGACTTCACATGTGTACTACATGTATTTAGGAAACAATGCACTCCCAAATTGTTTTTAAAAAAACTGTTTGGAGCATTGGTCTATTTCTATTATTAAATTGGATATTCAACCAGTTCCCCAATTTGTTTAACAGATTTGTAATGGATTATTTTACCATCATCTTGAAGTGGTTATATGCTCTGTGCATTGTGAAGCACAAACCATTGCCGAAGTTACCCAGATTTTCCTGGGTCAACTATTAGTGAATAATGGTATTTTTAGTGAGGCTGTTGACAAGTGAAATATATATTTTGCTTGAAAATAAAGTATGGAATGTTTACACACTTACATAATATTATTACAAAATTTCCTTACACTTACAAAATTGCCAATTGATATTGTGTTCCTTTCAATCTGAAGGAAAGGCAGTGAGCTGGAGGTAGAGGCATCATGAGTCGTACAAACTTTAAATGTACTTTGTTGCGGGCTGTATATGATCTCCAAAGTGTGCATTTACTTTGCACAATAATAAATCTGGCAGGGAAATAGCAGTTCCATTAAATAGGATGAATGTCAAAATCTAGAGTAAATTACAGGAATACAGTTCCTGTATTGGAAAAGTCTTGTAGGCAATTTAAATTCACAGAGTTTGGCAACCATTGACATTATAACTTGGATAAAACCTCTAAATGTGCTTTGCTCTTTTAAGCATAAAGTCTTCTGACAGAGATAAGCAAGAATATTTGTAACTGCTGGTTATAACTCGGGAGCCATGTTGGTATAGTGACTCTTTCCTCACCTCCCACCTCAGCAGCCCCCGGCTCGAATCCCACTTTGGTCGGTATGAGGCATAGGTTTCAATCCCTGTCAGGTTCTGTAGGTTTTCCATGGAATATATATATATGTCAATCTGGGGTTTTCCTCCCATCTCTAAAACATTTCTTCATTGTCTTCTTCATTATCATTTCATCCTGTAATTGATGTTGAATGTACTGTTGGACAAACAGAATAAATAAAATAAAGTAACTTCAAATGAGCCACAAGGGAGCCTGACCAGATTCGTTTTCAAACATCAAGGAATAACCAAGAAAATTGATTGACATGGGATTTGAAATTGCAACCTACACTTAATATGATGTAGGTAATCTACCAGCTAAGCTTCAAAATGGCCATAAGAGCAGATGAGATATTTTCATACTGTAAAGACATTCCGTGACCATGCAAACACAATTCCATAGTACAGATGTTTGAAAAATGATCACTCTTTTCAAGCAGGCAATTGATAATTCAGCCTTGGTTCATACATTGGTTTTTGCTCATATGTTGTCCTGCCGTCACAGAATCTTCAACTGCAGTGCCTACACCCTCGATGACTACTGTAGCAGGGCCCACTATGGCAGAAGTTACCATAACACGTGAGCATAAGTTTTAAGCCTCATGTCAGATTCACTCAGAAGTAATGAATTTAGAAAGCTTATTTTCGTAACTTGACCAGTCTTTTTGTTCTGAAGAAAAGTCAAATGAAACACACTGATCTTTTCAGCACACTGAGTAAAATAACATTATTTGACCATGAATTCACAATACCAGTATTTTACTAGACCTCAGAGTTTCGTGTTTACGTTCACCTCTGCGTCAAGTTTGAACCAACACTTACATGTAGCTGTCGTGTATATCTGCGGTAGTGCAAGAAGTTAATTTACAGTACAATTTTTGTTTATCTCCGATGCAACCAAAGCTGGTGGTTCTGAGGATTCTACCACGGTATCAACAGCCACCAATCCAACACCCATGAGCCTTGTCAGTGTGGTGGTTCCTGTCGTCATTGTTTTAGTTCTTCTCCTCATCTTAGTCATTCTGCTCATAGTTTTGGTGAAGCGCATTCGGTAAGTGGAATATGAGGAATTTGTCTCTTGCATTTTTCAAATGGAGATTATAAAGGTACCATCTCAAAACAGCATTGTTGTTTTTATGCTTAATAGTGGGTGATATTAAAAAGAAAACATATAACTTATATAAAAGAAATAACGGATAAAGATTATATATTTTAGACAGATTACATAATCTGAATTCAGATCAGAACTACACTGATGCTTTGCTCTCTTGTTCAGAAAGGCCAAAGCTATCCCTGCCCCAACTGGCCTTTTTTTACCTTGATTCTGGTCCAATACATGAGACTATATGGCTTAATGTTCCATATGAGGAGTGTTGCGCCACAATGAATCCAGCCAGCAACCCACTTGTGCGCAGCAAATTGAAAGATGAAGTCTAGGCCACATTTTCTCACAGTTTTCATTCACTTTGAATCAGAAAGAGTGAGGTTATTCCTTTGTTTTGACGTATCACTCATTTTGGCATCTGGATACAGTGGACTTCGGCTGAAAAAAGTTACACGTTCCCTTTGATTATGATGTTGCAAGATTGTTCTTGGCTCTGATGACTTTGACGTAATGGGGTGCACATGCTGTATGCTTTCCCGTATGGATAATTCCAGAAATTAAGGGTCCATTTTTGTTGTGTCCCTGTTGCATGTGAAATATGATTTTGTAAGTTCAGAACACATTTTCTAATTTCCAAGAGTGATGAATTAATGCAAATTACCTGCCAAACAAATAGCAATAGTTTGAAATCAATTCCGGTGATATTTCCATGTCAGTTACCATAAGGTCAGATGTACCGGTAACAGGGACATGAAAATGTCACACTTTTGGACCTCTTATTTCTGAAATTACCTATGTACTGCTGTTGGTCAACTTTTACTAATGTGCAATATGCTCCGCTATTCGACCAGTGGGTTGCAGATCGCGGCTGTAATGAGTCGCAAACCTAGAAAAAAAAACAGAATCACTAGCTGTGAGGGCATACTGCAACTCATTTTTTAAAATGAGGTTTGCTCAAGCATTTTTCAAGTTCTGTTTTCTATTATCCTTTCTAGTGATAAGAAGCATGCAGAAGTGGATGGTGGAAGTAGTATGCAGGGCAAGTTTGAAAGCAGCAATGACTGTAAGTTTAGTTTGGTTGGCTTTAAAGACCTTAAATGTACAAGTAGTGGGTCATTCAGAGCCAAGTATATGTATTGTCGTTGACCCCAGCCCTCAAGGCCAGGCAGGAAATATCTTTCAGGTGTATAGTATTTTTGTACCCACAAGCATTCATTAGAGTATGGTTACTAGACGGCTTAGTTATGTACAAAACATTTAGTAGACTTCCCACTAGAACTTCTATTTTAACAGTGGGTGCTTTATTGATGTTCATGTGCTACAATAATATTTGATAACTAATATGTCTTAACTACAGGACCACAATGTGTGTCGTCCCTTAAGCAAGCACAAACCTCCTCTTAAAATGATGTAAGCACGAAATACTCTTGCTTCTAGAAAACAAAATATGACACATGGACCTTGTGAATAAAAAACACATGCTAAGTCAACAATGATGTCACAGTGTTATTTTTTAAGACAAACTATTTTAAGAATTAGGTATCATTAAAGTCATTTAATGCACAAGCCGATATTTTCCAATTTCGGCTCCGGTTAAGTGTTTAAGTGTTTACAAGACATTGTCTCATTTCTGGCTGTAAGTTAGAAAATTTTATGAAACATTTTTAAAAATTAGTGTTTTCTCCTTTCGTGTCATGTAAAAAGAAACAAGACATTGAGAATACTTCTTTAGGTGCAACATTTCAAAGGTGTGGCATTAAATCTGCAGTTTCTAGAAATGTATAGCATTTAATCAGATCCCTGCTAAGGCCTAAGCCTGTTTGTTATGGGTCTTGAAAACACTTCCATTGCCTTGTCAGGAGGGCAAAGCCTTGCCCTATTCAATTGCCTAATCCCACTCATGTTTGTGCATTCGTTACAGTATCCAGCCTTCAAACAATAGACAACCCCATCTCCATCCCCATGGAGGACATCAACTCCAACCCCAATGGGGACGTGGTCCCAGAGACGACCCCCGCAATACGGCCAGAGTCCAGCGTCAGTCAGATCTCCACACTGGACAGCAGCTCACCATTTGCTGGTCTGCCCCTCTATCCCACCAAGGAGAGGGAACTCAAGAAAGATCCCATCCCACTCAAGGACTTTGTGGCATACGTACGGCAGGCCGTACGGGGCCATCAGCTCAGAGATGAGTGGACTGTAAGTACTGGTAGATCCCATGTGCTCCTGTAGGAGTGAGGGGTGTAAGCTGGTGCACATTTATGACTCATGATGAGAAGGTCAGGGGTTCGAATGCAAGTGCTGGTCACAGGTTTGTGCCCTTGATGAGCAAGTCGCTTCTCCCTTGTGTTCTGTGTGCGTCTCTCCACCCAGTTGTATAATAAATAGGCTCTGTTACGCAACCTGTAATGGACTGGCATCACATGACTTTGGGAATAGATCTGTGTGCAGTTTTTATACCACTGAAACTGGAGATAATCTGGCCTGATGGGTCACACCAGCTCAAGGCGGGCTTACTTCTTTATTGCTTTGTTTATGACCTCCAGGTAAAGTTCATAGTTACAAAGTGATTGATTTAAATTAGCTCACACAATGTTATTGTATCTGAGGTGAAATGCTCACAATTTGTGAAATTTTGTGATAGTTTTTGGCTTTCACAAGAAGAAATATACCGCTATGTTATACCCTGCACACATATCACTTAAACGTGGATCAATTGAAAATATATTGGCATTGCATAGTATGGTAAGGGATATTAAAAAGAAAAATGCTTCTCACTTAGAAGCAACACAGAAACACACCTTGGTTTGGAGTCTGACCATTTATTGGAACTCTTTTATCAGTCCTTTCCAGGAATAGAAGCAATATGTTCCTGTGACGTCTCCCAGCTACCTGACAACAAGATGAAGAACCGATATCGGAATATACCAGCATGTAAGATGTTCCTAGTTCTAAGTGCTTAATAGATTCATTTCCTTGCAAGATTGTAGCACATAAACTGTTGAAAAAAAAAGTTGGTCTGCTGTTGGATATCAATTTTAACACTTTTTCTTCCATGACTCTGACGACGTTTTACACATTGTTTTGAAAAGCAAATACTTTCCATATAATTTCATTCACTGCAAGATTTTTTGTTGTATTGGATGCCGGAAAATCTGTTTTTTCTGTCATCTACAAATTACTTTTTTGACTCTTTGAGTTTGGAAGATATTTATTATGAATGTTCTTATTTATTTCAACAAATAATCGATTGTTTTTTTAAAATGCATTTCTGGTATTGTTTACCAATAAAATTTTGATCAGTATTTCCTAAAAAACTTTAATACCTTCAAAATAGTTTTCATTTGCAGCATGGGTGAATTATAGTGCAGTCTATAATTTTAATATAGATGATCATTGCCGTGTCATTCTGGAACATGACAAGGATGATCCCAACTTGGGCTACATCAATGCCTGTTACATCAAGGTGAGATTTACAAAAAGTAATGAATTGTTTGATGAAATATGTGTAATATAGCAAATTGTCATAGTTGGAGCAGTAGGCAGAAACACATGTGTTTTATTTGATAATGTGGTTTTTGTGGTAGAAGATATTTATATTTCAGGACTCAGAGATAAATTTGTGTAAATACGTCCATAATTTTGTTGTCACTGCGGACTTTTTCCTTTTACAGGGTTACAAGAAGGACAAAGCCTACATAGCAACTCAAGGTTAGTATACTTGTCTTGATTAAAAAAATTGAATTCATAGAGTTTAATAACTTGGCGGTAAAGTTCCTATGACAAGTATTTATTGGCTAAATACAACACATTACCTGAGATTTTCCAAAATATCAACCTTTTATCATAATACTCCTAAGACCTTTGCTTCTGTTATTCTTTCCTATATCTTGTTAAGATTCAAGTTCAACCCACCAAATAAATTTTAGCATCATTCATGATTTGTTTTTCATTTGTTGTGCTATCAATCTTGCAGGGCCCAATCAGGCCACGTTACATGACTTCTGGAAGATGGTGTGGCAGGAAAATGTCCACATCATTGTCAACGGAACCAACCTTGTGGAAGATGGAAAGGTTAGTCTAACATGTCATTGAGGATTGAGCAAATCATGCATTTTTCACTCTGCAAAAATGCTTATTATTTTGCCAAGACAAAAAAACAAGAGTTACAGGACTAGCGGAATGGTTCTAAAACCAACAGTTTGAGCTTTCTTTTGGTACATGGCAGAGCTCAATAGCCCATGCCAGTCCCAACATTTTTCAATATGATCAATTTTACAGAGTTCAAAAATAACACAAATCAGAAAATGGACTTTGAAAAATTTGATACCAATTTAATAGTGCTCATACAAATTTAGGCTTGGAATCACCTAAAATCTCAAGTTATGTTTGGTGTCTTCACTCATGTAATTCTGCAAGTTTTGTATTTGTCTTTGCAGAACAAGTGCGCCAAGTACTGGCCAGACATGGAGAAACTTGAAACTTTTGGTGGTATTTCCATCAGCTTGGTTAAAGAGGAAACTAGAGGAGAGTACGAAGTCAGGACGATGATCATGTCAAAGATTGTAAGAATATCTTTGTCAACGTGTCTTGGAAAAGTGTGTTACATGTATATATGGATTGGAAGAGAGCATTTTAGTGGGCAACATATCCCTTGTCATAGGGTAGGACGCAGTGTGCTGAGCACAGAGTACAGATAAGTAATTTGACAGATCTATAGCCTCTATGCTTTGTCACGTGCTGTGCAGGTGACATTAGTGGCATTAAATTCTCTCCCCCCCTCCGGAATGTGATGTGCCATATGATAATCATGATCAGATGTATAGGGTCTGCTTTTTGACTTCACAGTCATTTTTCCTACAAGTGGCAGCTAAAACTATGGTTGGCATTCAGTACAAAAGTAAAAAGAATAATTCACAAAATGTTCAAAATTCCCTGTAGCTATTAGAACACTGGATAATAATACACATACCAGTCAATCCTAAATGAATATGCAACCCTTTTCAAAATCAATGAAACCATTGTCCACTTTGAATGAAGTGGAGGTAAAATTAGGCAAAATGAGAGTGGTGTATAGAAAATGTTATTAAAAGCATGCAATGGGTACGTTGATATCTGCTGGGCACTGCTACATTTGCATGTATATCTCAGTTTAAACAAGCGGTATTAGAGGATCTGTTAGACGTTGGTGTTTGATTTGAAATTATGTTCTTTTTGTTCATGTTGCTAAAAATCAAGGGGGCCCTTTGATTTTTGTTGCCTCTGGATGCAGCATGTATTGACCTCTCTGAGGTTAATCCCTATTTGCATAATTCACTTTGGTGCACTATTTCTACAGCTATCATCAACAAATTTTCCGGTTTTTAATCCTCTGTTATGTGCGAAAAGGATGACAACAAATCTGCACCCAGAAAGATCCGACAGTATCATTACACCACCTGGCCTGACAAGGACGTTCCCAAGGATGTGACTCCTGTCTTGAGGCTCATCAAAGAGTTCTCAGATGCAACACCTGAAGGAGCAGGACCCTATCTCATCCACTGCAGGTGTGAACCTTGCATTTCCTGGAAGATGTCAATTTCAGGCTTCTGCAAACTGCTTACCAAGGGCATAAAAACACTATTAGGGGCTTGCAACACCAATTATAATAAAATTTCTCTCAAAGGTTAAGTAGACAGTTCCAATTAAGATTGAAATGTCTGTCTTTTCCAACTTTTACAACTCATTCTCATTCTCTTTATGTGCTGTTGAATAATTTGTGTTTTTCTTTCACAAAATCTTCAAGAATTGTGAAAGGGCATACAGTTGGAAACTTGTAGACTGAACTTTTATTTCACATGATGCAGTGTATTATTTTGGGTTTTGTTTTGTTTCCAGTGCTGGTGTAGGCAGGACTGGTGCCATCATAGCCATTCATGCCTTGCTGCAACAAGCTCACGCAGAGAAGACTCTGGATATCTACAACTTTGTAGCTGACATGAGAGACCACCGTGTCAGCATTGTACAGACCCCGGTTGGTTCAGCTAACAGTCTGGGCCTACGAATCATTATTTGCTCGGGAATTTTTTTGGAAATCTCCAAACAATTTGGCAAAACCCCGCTGGTGCTGTTTTAGTAGTTATCAATCACAAGAGATTTTCATGTGAATTTTTTACTGTTATTGAATAATGAATTTACTGTGAATGTTATAAGTTAAATTCTCTTAGCATTCACTTGGAGCCTGAATTGATGCTTCAGTCACTTATATACATGTATAGCCGTACATTTACTCTTCCAGGTTTGAATTTGAAGTTTTGGGATCTCTTCGAAACTGGTATGTTTTAGGTCATTCTGTTAAAGTGGCACTTAATGCACCAGTGAGCAACACTGTTCAGATTGACCAAAAACTTTCTTGAGCAGGCCTTCATGAGTTACTCTCTCCTTGTTCTTACAGGTTCAGTACACCTTCATCCATCTGGCCTTGCTAGAGGCTCTGTTTTCAGGCGACACCTGCGTTCCTTCATCTTCCCTGAAGAAGAGGGTGGCAGAACTCAAGAAGAAGAAGAAGATGGCTGAAGAATTTGAGGTAAGTATTCGTTCAAGTGTACAACCTTTGTTTGTGAAAGAGTACTTTTAAATACTACATCAACTGTTTTGTTGTGTTGAGTGCACTGTACATGTGCACTCACAGCATTGTTAATGAGTGTGGTGCCTATGAACATGTATGCCAGTTTTGCTTCAGTGAGTACAGATTTCATCTTAATGATTTTTGTCATGTACTTGTACTATCAAAAGTGTTTGCCTGCTTGAACTGCAGATTCTGTGTTGTGTAATAGAGTAAGCTCTTGTCTAAATATAATTGGGACTTTCCAAAATGTGTCTTTCTAAAGAAATTGACTCTTTGTGAATGAGTTCGGTGCGTTGGTAAAATTTGTATACTAACTTTTTGTGAATGAGTTCCGTGCATTGATAAAATTTGCATAATAACTTTTTGTGAATGAGTTCAGTGCGTTGATAAAATTTGCAATTAATAATCTGTCAGTCATGTTTGGCTTGTTAGTTTGTATTGTCTGACTGAAAACGTTCTGTTTTGTACAAATTTCTGTAGTTTGCTGAAAGCTTTCTTACCTTTGTCATGTTATTTGATGTGTGATTTGTATTTCAGCAACTGAACATGATCAGCCCTGTGCCCATTGCCGAGAGATGCCGTTCTAGCATGATGGAAAGCAATCACAACAAGAACAGGTTGCCTAGTACCCTCGTCCGTAAGTCAGCCACATTGGCACATTAGGGGCCTGTCAGTATCTACATGTACATGTACATTAGCACAGTGAGCTGTGTGAAGCACTGTTATTATAAATAGGGACTCTTAGTGTGTACGGCGTACATTTCTTTGATGTATTTCCAGAGAGTGTCCAGCCTTCCTGTATTTTGCTGCTAATCAAAAACAGTTTGTGTGCCTATCAACCAAAAGCTTGACCCTAGTCTAGTGTGTTACACATGGAGATGGTATATTTTGTCCAACTCAATGATGGCAGACGTATGAGAGGGGTTCCTTACCTCCCCCCATTTACCAAAGTTACAGATTTTGTTCCACCCTCCCATTCAAAGATAATCCCCTCTAGAAATACGCACAATTCTTTCCCAACTTGCTTTCCATTAAATTAAAGTGTTGTGACATCAATGATTTTTTCCCCTTCAGCTGAAAGCTGCCGGCCATTTTTGATGACTCCAAGAGAAGATGGCATGGAGTATAACTACATCAATGCCGCATTTGTGGATGTAAGGTTGAATCAGTGGACAGGATACTTGCTTAAAGAAAGGGTCTTGTTTGTGATTGATTCTTTAAAGTGACACAACGTCATTGTGAAATATGAAGGGATAATACTTTTAGACCATTGAGGATGACCAGGACACTATACTCATGTTGTATCCCGGTCCATCTGTAAACTTGACGAGTCTGGTCTTAGGCAGAAGGAGACGACCAATGACAAAGGAATCCTTTTGTTTAGGTTCCGTTTGAAAAGCATGTGACTTTCCTGGGAATGGCATTACTTGTGATTGACTTATTTGGGATTGTGAAGACTTAACAGCATTCGTTGTTAGTAGCCGCAATCTGTTACCATGAACTGAAACT